TCCGTTGATCATAGCTACGCATTGATCCAAGCCCATCAAGCTCATTAACACCATCCTTGGCAGAACGAATTCATCCCAAAATTGCGATTGATTTGGTCTCCAAGGCCACCTCAGCCACCATGTCGTCGCCAGTCAACCAAAAACACGACGAGTATGATGAGAAACACTCCAACCACACAGCCGAAACGCTCCACGACCCGGCCAATCTCCAGTCTCACATGGATTCGCAAAAGCCCAGTCATGAAAGGCCTCTAATGCCCCTCCATGTGGACTCGCATAACCACCTCGCACCTCCGACGGAAGGACCCTTTTCTCCCAATGGCGGCGGCACCCGCGAGCAAGCAAGCCGTCTCACCGACGACCTTGAGCTTCTCCGTGTCGAGCGCCTCATCTCCAATCAGGAGAACGAGCTGAATCGGTCCCGCTCTCGTAGCCGCCAACACCAGCCCGAGCCTGAGGACCTGTTCGCCGGGAAACCAGTAGAGGACGAGAAGGTCGAGCGCCCGCCTCCCGAAAAGAAGGCTGGCATCTTCGGCTACTGGCTCCTTCGCTGGCTGAAGAAGCTCCCTCGTTGCTTCCGCTACTTTTTCTATCTGCTACCAGGCGCCACGCTTCTGTTGATTCCTATCCTGATCGGATATTTCAGCCCTGGCGACCGGCCTGTTGGCGGTGATGGAGGTGTCGAGTTGATGTGGTTTGGCATCTGGTTAATGATCGTATGGTGCACCATCTGGGGCGCTCGCATGATCACGTCTCTGATGCCACCCACATTTGCTGGCATTGCTACTCTCATGGGCTCCAACAACGGCAAAAAGTGGAAGGACATTGGTCGTGTCCTTGAACTTCACACAGCGCTCTTCATCTGGATGCTCTCGGTTTTGGTCTCCTTCAAGCCCATCAATAACAGCCACCGAGTCCGCCGCACTGGTGACGGTGATGGCTCAGTCGAATGGATCAACACAGTGTACAAGGTCATCATCGCCATATTCGTCCTATCTGCCCTCAACTTTATCGAAAAAATCATCATTCAGTGGATCGCCACATCCTTCCACCAGCGCACCTACGCCAAGCGTATCGAGGACAATAGAAGCGATATTCATCATCTCATTCACCTGTATGACTACGCTAAAGAGAAGATCGCTCACGACGATGCCATTTGGGAAACAACCGGTGAGGCCAGGGAAGGATCTGGAAGCCGCACGCCCATGGCCCAGCTGCACAACAATGTCCGCCAGGTGTTCAATAAGGCTGGTGGCCTCGCGAACCGTGTCGGTAACGATTTCATCGGCCGTAAAACCGATCTCAATCATTCGAAGAAGATTGTCTTCGAGCTGTTGCGTACGTCGTCGTCGGCTCACTCTCTCGCTCGGTTGATCTACCGGTCTTTGCTGAATCCAAACAACGAGACCATCTACGAGGATGACATGCGAATTGCCTTCAAGACGGAGGAGGAAGCTGAACACGCCTTTGGCATTTTCGACAAGGACTTCAACGGCGACATCAGCATGGAAGAGATGGAGTGCGTTTGCAATGAGATTCATCTTGAGCGCAAGGCCATCGCTGCCTCCCTCAAGGATTTGGACTCCGTCATTCAGAAGCTTGACAAGGTCTTTTTCTTCATCATTTTCGTCATCTCCATCATTGTCTTTATCACAATCCTTTCCGGCTCGGCTGCCGCCGGCCTCGCGTCCGCTGGCTCAGCTGTCCTGGGTCTTGCGTGGATGCTTCAGGCTACTGCCCAGGAATTTCTGCAGTCGATCATCTTCGTCTTTGTCAAGCACCCATTCGACGTCGGCGATCGCATCACCGTATACGGTAACACCGGCACGACCCTACAGGGGGATGATTACTACGTCACCGAAATCTCCCTCCTTTACACCGAGTTCAAGAAGATGGAGGGGCACATTGTTCAGGCGCCCAACTCCGTTCTCAACACCCTGTTCATCCTCAACCAGCGCCGCTCCGCCGGTCTCGCAGACCCCGTCGAGCTGCGTCTCGGATTCGGCACCGACCCCCAGCTCATCGAGGATCTCAAGGCTCGCATGACTGACTACTGCCTGGCCAACAAGCGCGATTACAAGCCTAGTGTGCTGACCGAAGTTCGCACCCTGAACGATGTGCAGTCTTTTACCATGAACTTCATCTTCTTCCACAAGTCTAATTTTCAAAACGAACTCTTGCGTCTGCAACGCCACAACAAATTCGTTGCTCAGCTCATGGTTGAGATTCGTGATCTTGGCCTGCAGGGACCTTGGCAGGTGCAGCCCGGTGGCTCCCGCGAGTTCCCCCTGCACTGGGCTGGTGCCGCTCCACCTCCGTCGTACGAAAACTCCGCGGCCAAATCCAGCGGCACGTCTGGCCCCGGGGCAGTATCCGACTCTGCTGCGGCGCCGCCACTGCAGCACTCGACCTCCGTCGCGTCTGGCGCATCCACCGCCTCTCGTCAAACCTATACGCCTGCTATTCGCTCTGTTCCACTGATTGAAGAATCTTTCGTTGATTTCCAGGACGTCTTCGAGAGCCGAAAGGCCGAGCACACCCCCAAGATTTCGCGGCTGCAGAGTATTCGTGAGAACAGCAGCAGCAACTTCCGTGACGGGCGAAGCAGCCAGGATCGTGATGGTAGCCCCGCACGTACCAGCGGCGCCGCGCGACCCAGCCAAGACTCCACGTCGCGACGTCACATTTTCACTGGCCGCGCTCGCAGCAGGAGCACGGCCTCGAAGCCGCCGAACGAAATGGTGTAAAAGATTAGATTTCATCTGTGTTTGGGAGGATATACCACGAGTAGAAGAGGGGGTTCACAATATTTTGTCTGGATGTAAGAGTACGTCAGATACAGGCCGCCGCCTAGGCTGGTGGCTGTGCTGGACGTTAGATAGTGCCGAAATGTAGGCTCCTCATCATGATCATGACTTCGACTTACAGCGAAAAGGAATTTTGTGCAATGGTGGGATAGACGTGGCCCTTTTTATATGTCCAGTTGATGGGCCCAGTGAGCGTCTCATCGGTTCATCTAGGTGACCGACAGGGGCAAATGCATGACTGTGAAGTTACCTGTTCGATAGGATAGCTCTTGTGCTCTGGAATTCTGATCCGTACTGACACGGCACCCTACGCCACAGTCTCATGTACTATGTGCAGTGATTTGAAAACGCCCCGTCAACATGGCAGATGAATGTGGTGCTACATCGTGTTCCTAGTCTTAAACAAGTCACCGTCGGCACCCCCTTTGAGCAATCGCTGGAAGCCAAGGAACCTGACGACCTCGTCCTATAGCCCTTGGTACGTGGCTGACTACAGCCCTGTATGCAGTTGGTGTTTGAAAAGCTACAACTTGAAATAAGGTCATAACCTGTGAAACGGCTTTCAATGAATCCAGTGGGTGTACGCACTTGAGGGTTCTTACACCTCACCATCTATCAGGCTAGATAACTTAACGCAGGTTTCGGAGGCATGATGGAATTGCGCGGAAGAGCCTTCGATCCTTCAAGACCTCTCTTGGCCCAATGGCTGCAGCATTCTTGTCGCGGCTGCAATTCGGAACCGTGCATCGCCTCAACCGGGCGGCCAGCGCCCGCAGTATTGGGACCGATGCACATGAAATTGATCAGACACTCCGCGCAGATGTGCGCATGCTGTGATCAAGCATGGCCCTGATGGCAGACGTCTGAAGTAGTCACCGCCTTGTTGGCAAGTCTTTGTCTCTTGTCGTTGCAATGGACTGAGCTGCTCGGTATGAAAGAGAGTTCGCAGCACAGGGACTGGCGAGCTCGATTTGTCAGCGCAGCAGTTTGTCATCAGCCGCCCACGGGAGGCAGCTGGGTCAGGCCTCCGGGCCGGACTTAGGGGCATTTGTCCTCGCCAGTCCAGCCAAGAATGCGGACCTGGTGTCCGTGGAAAACCAGGACCGCCGGTTGACTTCCTCCGTCTCGCACGCATACATGCCTTTGAAAGAGGGAAGATTGGTCAAGAGATGGTGATGGGAGGTTGTTTCGCATCATCAAGGTTGCCTGAGATCCGAAACCACGCGTTTTTGACGCGAACTTGATGGTGTTTGACTGACCAAGCAAGTGGATCAGCGAGTATTCAGGCAATGGCAGAGTGACACTGCGGGGAACAGCGTGGTGGAGAGGCCTTGCAAGTGGTAGCGCCTCAACCTCATGCAAGCCAGTCCCATCACGACATCGATGATGCGACGCCCGCTTGGGATGGGTCAGGAGGGGTCGGCGAGGGGAGGTTGAGTGTTGATAAATAGCTATCATGTCCCTCGCCGATGCTGATGAAGCCACAATATAACTTGAACTCGATCGTTGAACCCTTCAGTTTATACTCTCATCACAACTACCTGCTCTCCAAACCCAAACAGCCCGCCTGTCACGATGGCTTCAGCCCCCGAGCTCATCCTCTACACCAATCACACCTGCCCTTGTAAGTCAACCAATTGTTTTTTTTCCCTCCTCATTCCTCCTCACGACAACGATCGCGATACTCACGCTCATCAGGGGCGCACCGCGCACACATCGCCCTCGCTGAGCTCGGCCTCCCCTTCAAAGAGGAGATCATCGACCTCAACACCCCGCGCACCGAGGCCTACCTCAAGATCAACCCGCGCGGCCTCGTCCCCGCCCTCTCCTACAACGGCGAGATCATCACCGAATCGGGCATCGTCGCCCAGTTCCTCGCCGACGCCCACCCCTCGCATCTCCTCCCGGCCTCGGACGCCAAGGACGGCGCCCTGCGCCGCGCGCGCATCAACTTTCTTCGTCGACACGTACTTCTCCAAGGTCAACCCGCTGCTGGTTCAGGATTCATCGGCGCCCAGTTCGTAGGAGGAGAAGAACGAGTTTGGCTAAAACAGGTCGAGACTATCCGTC